TATAATTTGCGTTTATTGAATTTGTGTGTATTTTATACAGACTATCTCAATCTTAGTCATCTTTATAGCGCTGTTCCCACCGTAGCTCCCCCTGTCCACTGGAACCCATATACTCTGTCATCTGTGTTAGGGCCCAATGTATCAAGACGGTGTCCTTAGTTGCAAGTCCATATTCTGAGGTTTGGTCACTCTGTGGAGAGTCTCTTCTTTAAGGAAGATCAGCTCTTTCTTCCCTAGCAGCAATCAGCTGCCATTGTTTGGTGAGCTAAGATTGGGCTGTGCTGTTCATTTCCCCAGTTCAAGGCTGGGTTTTTGTCTGCTTGACTTTGCATGGCACAAAAATTATGAGTATTAGAGTAAACTGTGACCTGGACATAAGAGTGGGATTGTGACCTTTGCAGATCACGGCTGGCTTGCCAATGCATGCTCTGTGTAATCACATTAAGAATTACAGTGACAGGCCCATCCCCAAGGCTGCTGGAGAGACTGGCCTTAAACAGTTAAAAAGAGGTTGGCAAAGCCCGCAGTGTGTTTGGTGTGCAGAATAGTTGAAGGTTCCTAAGTATCCCCAGGAGGTGGGGGTTGGCCTGGTCCTGCTGGCATGGTGGCCCTGCGTGGCCCGCCCACCTGTTCTCTGCTACACAACTGGTTTGCTTTGGGATTAGCTGCTTTTCGCATTAGGTTGTATCTTTAGTGATGGGGCTAGCTGCCACAGATCCATTGGCTGCTGGCTTTGTAAATTTCATTCAGTTTGGTCCAATCGGAGACGGAGAGAGCTCCGGGAGACAGCAGGACCTCGCTCCTCAATCTCTCTTTTTTTTCCTTGCGGAGCCCTTCTCTATCTCTCTGTACAGATCTCTTATTCAGCCCGGGCTGGGTCCTTCCTGCTCCAATTCCGACGCTGCCCTCCGTCCCCCCAGCCCCCCTTTTCTTCTTTCTGTCCACACATAATTGAGGACAGAAATAACTGTTCAAGTCTTCCACTTGCATTCCTTTGGACGAGCAAATCTAGCCGGTGCTTGGACTAAATTCATTCTTCCTGACACAGCTTTCGCCGCTCGGCTTCTCTAGAAAAATCAGATGTGTAAGAAGAACTCTTTAAGTGCCATGCGCCGTTTCTTCGGCTAAGGTAGGTGCTGATTTGAGATGGGTCTGCGTTACGTTTTCCTTCTTTTTATTTGAAAAGCTGTTTAAACATTTGCATTGGCTGCTCGGCTGCATCCGAGGGACCTTGTCACTGCAAACCTCTCGGTTCTCCTCCATCTGACGTTGATTATTATAATCATTGCCTACTTTGATTTTCAAAAATTTGGACAGGACCTCGCATCCGTCGCTTTCTTTCTTAGGTGCGCATGGCTGTGTGTGTGGACATGCATGTCAGACTGGTCGTGTGCAAGTTAGACGCACGTCTCCCACGTAAAACATTGTATTTTGTGGTGACTTAATAAAAGAAAAAAGAAAAAAAAAAACCTGGGACCCTCGCGTTATGGTCCCGTTTTACTGCAATCAGGTATTTGAACGGCTGCGGGGCTTGTCTCTGTGTGATGTGTTTACAAAGTAGGGCTGCCTGACATACGGATAAAGAGAAGTATGGACAGAGGAAGGAAAAAAAAAAAAAGCGCGTGTGGATATGTGTATCTGCATTACAGTAAAGAAAGAATAGCCTCGTTTCTCTGCAAACACACAAGTCTTTTTTTTGCAAACTGAGTGTTGAGAGCTTCCCTTCGTCTTGGCTTTTCATCCCCCCCCCCTTCTTTAACAAAACTGTCACCTGTCACCTCCTGCGGCGGTGCTTTTAATTTTGGGGGGTGCGGGGGGTGGCAGTTAACCATACAGAGCTGGAAAAACAGGTTTGGCTGGGTTTACATTAAGCGATTTTCTCCTCCCCCCCTCCTGCTCATTTTATCATCCGCTGGCCCCGGATAAAACGAAGGCTGTGTGATGCTCTAAACAGCGCACGCGATTGATTTAGGTCCTGGGTACCGTTTGGTGGGGGACATTCGGGTGCGCTAGACACCCCGGGTGGAGGTGAAATGAGGGTACCTTGGTGGTCTTTCTGCAACGACGGAGAGCGAGCAACCGTTTTACTTGTGTGTGTGTTGGGGGGGGGTGTGAAAGGGGCAGATCGTTAAGGGATGTTGAGGGGGTGGCTGGGGGCTGGTCTTTTTCCTTTGCGAGCTTTTAAATGTGGCTTTGGCATGCTCGTGGGCACACTCCTGTCGCCCCATCTCTCAGGTTTTTCGGAGGGAGAAAAGTTGGTAGACTAGGTCCCCTGGGATGTGGACCTCCACTATTCCTTCCTTGGACAGAGCCTGCCGGGAGCCGGATGCATCTGAACCCTCCTCTCCAGGTGGAGGTGGGGGTGGGCAGGAGCCGGTCAGCGGCCTTACAGCCCTGGACCACACCACCTCCAACCCCATCCCAAGCGTTGTCCCCTGACTTCACATCAAGAGAGGGGAGGGGTCCTCCTCTACCTCGTTCTACCCCAAGTTGATGTTTTTAACTCCGGGTACATTTCACCCCCCCCCCCCAAGCCCGGGTCCCCATTTGCGCCCTCTTCTACTCGGATAGGCAGAAAGGGTGCTTAAGATCAGACCAGCGGGGGGCTGGGCGCAAGACTGGGAGATCAGCAGGAGAGCAAGTGAACTTGAATGTCGCCCCTTCCCCAAGGCCAAGCAGAACGGTGCTGGGACCTGGAGCCCGGGCACTCCTGGGGACTGACCTATGGAACCACAGCAGGCGGCTGGGAGGAGGAGGGGGG